TGTGTGGTAGTTAAGTCTGAACTGGTTTTGTTTTTTTTTTAATATCAAATCTTATAATCTTCAAGTGTAGAAAGTTTTGTAAAGTTGTCAACAAGAAGAAGAAAATGATTCGTAATTTGAAAAAAATAAAATCACTTCCTTATCATTTACTCATTGGAAAAACGTTTCACAAACTTTGAAGTGTAAAGTGCTATTGAAGGGAGCAACAGAATAATATACACTTTCAACTGCTAAAGAGTTTCAATCATTGTTGATGTAGTTTACTCTCCCTAAATCATAGTGAAGTGATTAAGTTGAGCTTTTGTACACTAAATGCATGTTTGGGTTGGCTTTAAGCATTTTTGGTCCACTACAATGTGAAAATTGATTTTTCTTTTTTTTTTTTGGGTTTTTTTCCAAAATTAATTCTTCTCCTCCAAATGCAATTCTCTTAGAAACTACTAATACTATCTTTTTTGGTTAGTAAAAATTATTTCTATATAGAATTAACTCTATTTTATTTGTTACAATCACCTCTATATTATTATTTGTTATATTAATTGATAACAAATACTACTTTTATATTATTTTATCCAAATATATATATCAATTCTACAAACACGCACTTAGATGGAAAAATAGATTGTCATTTAAGTAAAGAGCCATGTTATTTTGAGTCTGATAAGTTAAAAGAGTCATGCTATTTTGACACTAATATTTGATACAACGTAATTTATAACAAAGAAAACTTTTTTTGTGAACAACATTCAAAACAAAATTCATTATTTAAAAAATGGATTTGTGCATTGTTGTATGTATTCAATTAGGGTGTAGTGTAAATAATGGTGTCAACATATCATTTCTCTTAAGTAAAAGCAAATTGAATAAAAAATTTCATTGTAAAACACAGATACTATAAATTCTAACAATTAATAGAATCAATTATAGACCCAAATTCAATTCTATTTTTGAAACACCAACCGCCTCAAAATCACTTCCGAATTAATTCTAGCAAAATTATTGGGCTATGGCATAGAGATATCCATAAAACATAGTTACTAAAATACAAACCTGAGAATTATTTAAATGTGGTGACAAGTCTAAATTGTGCATTACAGCATGTTACTACTATCAAAAGTTATAGATATCTAGCTGCGGCGTAGTGACTTTTGGAAAGAGGTGAGTTTTGGGAAGAGATAAATGATGAATCCAAAGATGCAAATTAAACTTTTTTACTCTAAAAGTTGTTATTTTTTGGGGTTGCAATTCAAATTCAATGTCAACAATCATAAGCAATCAAACACAGAAATTAAATATCAAACTGGAAATATTATCTATAGTAGAAATCAGCACAATGAAACAAAAATTGCATAGACAAAATTACTCAATGCTCAAATCATCTCAATATCAGAAAATATGAGCATTGTACAAAGTTTACAACTAGAAATTCTTTCAACAATGTCTAGAAAGCTGAGAATAGAAAACACCATTGAAATGTCTAACTACTTTACTGGTCAACAGGAATTGACTTAATGATGTCAGAATCACCTGAAATCAGAAAACAAATAAAATTAGAATATTGAAAATAATTACAGAATACGAGTTCTAATATTATTGAAATAGTTAAGGAAAGCTTCAAATACCAGGATCAACAATGCTCAGGCAGCACACTCTGTAGTACTTTCCACATGCAGTACCCAAATCAACATTGTCTAATTAAAAGAGTAAAATTTGTCAATGAAAGATCAATCAAAATATTTGTGCATAATACCAAAATAGAGAGTTAACCAATAAATTCAACCACATCAACGCATTAGACAGCTAAATTCAATACTATTAAGAGTAATCAGTGTATGTCAAAGTTTGTCAATACTAAGAGTAGCAGCAAGTGTAGGTCAAAGGTTGCCAAGACTAAGAGAAACAAGGGCAGGTCAAAGGTTGTCAAGCAGTAGCATATCTATAATTATGCATTATTTAGGGGGAAAAAACAGTAGAACAATGGAGAGTAACAAAATGCTACAAGTTCAGAATCATGTGAGTATGCAAGATTACCAGAACCGTGTTTGGAAAACTCAATGGCCAATTTAAAATTAGTCCCATTTCCAACTACTAAGATTATTACAAGTTATAACAAACAAAAAACAAAAGCTTATAAAATAAAACAAATGTTTACAACAGCATTGAAAGATTAGATTGAATGATTCAATAACCAGACACTGGAAAACTAAGTTGATAGAAACTACTATACCCACAAGGTTTGATGGATCACATTCATTCTTTTGAATTATACATACTAGTCTTACATTCTTACATGATTATCAATTTTATCAATAGACGTCCAATATTCGAGACAATGACAATATATTGGTATTAGTGTGATAGGATTTAAACCTAACAAGTCTATTCATTTAGGGTCACTACATTACAATATATACCATCAATCAAAACATACTCACGTGATAAAATAGCATTCTGAAAAACTGTGAACAATCACTAAATGCGCATTAACATTGAAAAATGGTAACTTACTTCCGTTGTAGTGATGTACCCCAACCTTAGCCAACATGGCATAGTATTCAATTTCAGATTTCCTCAAAGGAGGACAGTTGTTAGCAATGATAATCAACTTTCCTACAAAATAATCAAATTAAAAACATACTCACTTACCTCTTAATTCCACTAACAAATCAACATAAAAACTGATAAAAAAATCAAATTCAAAAATAAACATGAAGGAAAAAGTTACCTTTTGAACTCCTTAGGGACTTAAGAACGGTTTTGTAACCTAGGGTATATTTGCCACTCTTCATGACAAGAGTGAGCCTGTTGTTGATACTCTCATGAGTCTTCTTCTGTAAAATTCAATCAAAATTCAATTAAATATAATTGGGATTAGAAACCCTAAATCTGAAACGAACACACCAAATTCATCGTAATACAAAATAAAATGCTTAGAGCAGAGAAAGAAGAGAAGAGTGATAGCTTACGGTTTTCTTTTGCAGCAGCTTCTTTGATTTCTCAACCTTCTTTGAGCTTGACTCTTTCCCATATTCTTTGTCAAACTCTTTTTCGAAATTGTTGCCAAATTCTTTCAGATAACCAAGTATTACTTTACAATTGCTGCACTTAATATCTGCACTTGTGAACCTTCTCTTATTTCGAGTGTTCAATAATAGTTCAACAACTTCATTGTCTCAACCGAACAACTCACAACTTATATGACTCTGGAAAAAAAAATCAAACAATTGAAACTATAAGAAATTGGGGAGGAATGGTTTTACAATACCCAATATCAATTATTTCGAAACCAATGATACTTACCTTTTCAAAAAATTTGGATCTCCAGAACTTTCTCTTAGGATTTTCGTGGGTGTTTAAAACCCATATCTTCATTAATAGATTTCAACCACATCTGCGTATTTCTCTCCTATTAGGATTTTCGATAAAAGAATTTCTACTACCACCCATTTCAAATCCTAATTTCAAATCCTAATTTCAAATGAAAATGACTAGGAAAAGAGGATGAAAAACACGAGTTGTTGTAAACTATGGAGAAGACAAGTTGCAGTTAGCAATGGAGAAGACGAGGATGGAATGGAAAAGACATTTTTATAAACTCAAATTTCGGAGGCGGCATAAATTTGTCCATCTGTCATTTTAAAAAAAATGTCACTTATCATGACACGTAGGCATTAGTCGTGTGTCATTTCCCCTAAGGTTTAAACAATTAGAATCTTTATATGACAAGATTATTTTTACAAAAACAAAAATATACAGAAGTGTAAATCAGAACTTACCTATATAACAAGCTGGTAAAATGATATTAATCCATAGTTAAAAGTCCTTCAACACTCACCTGGTCTATCCCATACCCTATCCCACATGATAAAACTTTTATGGGGAAAATAGATAAAGGAAATTATCACTATGTAACTGAAAATCAAAGTGTAGAAGATAAATCAGTCATAAGCCTCATGGAAACTACTTTTACAATGACAGTATATTGAGAATGGATTATTTAACCACATCACCCCACTTTTGTAACTAAATTTTAAGATTGGTGTGTGACATGGTAAAATGGAGGCTTCTCATTAAATGATAGTGCAAAATTATTTTACACTCATAGTATATAGCATTAAACTCTTAAAAGAAACCGCTTAAAAAGAGCAAAAATCTTAACCCTTTTGTGCTTCCTTTCTCTGTAACTCAATTTCATCCTTAACCATGAATTACCATCAATAACAAACTTCCAGCAGCAGCCCTTCTAAAATCTCTCCTTCCCTTCTCAAGTGCTCCTCCCCTTTCCCTGTCAACCATGGCTAAAGGACCGCTAGGTAGAATTGTTATGAGGCTCTTTGCATCATCAAGCAGTCCCAAGTCATCCCTCAGGTACAAGCAAGAACATAAACTTAGTTTGCTTGATTTGTAAAGAACAAATAGTTTGTACCTTAGTAACCTTGGTGCCAATCATTCTCATCAGTTCTGCAATAACCAGACCATCTAGGTTATGAAAGCACACAACTATGCAAATCAGCTAACATGATCAAGATGCAACAATTTTTTATACATTTAATCCGATTACAGCGGCTGATGAATTCGCAGGGCTTATCATGGCGATCTCTTCCACCAGACAACAAAAAATTATTAGATGCTGGCTTCAATAGCAGTCAAATCTTGGATGGGAGTTAAACAATTCTCATTATTCACAACAGTTCCGTAGAATATTTGTATAACCTACATGAAGCCGATGCTGCTACTAGTTAACATTCTAGCTCAACATTGCCAAACGGGCAAATACTAGGTCATTAACCATAGCTTCCAATAATCTGCCAATTTCTATCATCACACTGCCTCTCCCATTGCTAGAATACTGCTTTTGGGGTTACAGCTACATTGTACAAGAAGTAGCAACCACATTTGTTGCATTTATCTGAAATTTTAAGAGTCATAATGCAACTACACCAATGACTTAAGAGTCATAATCTTATTGCAACTATGTCCACAGTTTAAAATGTTGGTCATCAAATAGCTTCCTGCATGCTAGAATCACTTTTTCCAGTACAAACGTTCACATGAGAACCCTTCCGATTTTCACTATCAATCCAGCTCTTACCGGGCAACTTCTTAACCCCTCTATCTTCCATCAACTTCCTGATCTCCACAGCATCGTCCCACCGGCCAACCTCTCTGTAAATGTTACCAAGCAGAACATAGCTCAAATGGAAGTTAGGCTCCAATTCAATCATCTTCTTTGCGACGCGTTCGGCAGTGTCATAGTCAGAACACTTAGTACAAGCTCCAAGAAGAGCTGCCCAAAGTGATTTATCATATTTGCAATCTGCATTTTCCAACAAACACTCAGCCTCCTCAATAAACTCAGCACGCCCCAAAAGATCAATCATGCAATTATAATGTTGCACAACAGGCTTAATCCCATATTCCCCCATCAAGGCAAAAAACCTCCTCCCTTCATCAACCAAACCCGCATGACTACAAGCAAAGAGAACCGCAACAAAAGTGATGGAATCAGGTTTAATCTCTTCCTTAATCATATCCTCAAACAATGCCAACGCCTCAACCCCTCTTCCATTCTGCGCAAACCCACTGATCATCGAGTTCCACGTGATCAAATTCCTAACCTCCATATGCGCAAACACCGTACGTGCAAAATCAACCATACCACATTTTGCATACAAATCAACTAATGCAGACTCAATTATAACATCTTTCCAACCACCATTCCTCACATATTTACAATGAACCTCCTTCCCATGGTTCACTGCAGCCAACCCCGAACACGCACGAAGAACAATGCCAAACGCGTAAAAATCCACAACCCCCCTCTCCCTAACAAGATCAAGCACATTTTGATATTCTTTATTCTGACAATACACACCAAGCATTGCAGTCCAAGACACTGAATTCTTATCATCACTCAACCTATCAAACACAATCCTAGAATGCCCAACAGACCCACATTTTCCATACATATCCAACAAACTACTCTCAACAACCACGTTTCCACAAAAACCTAAACCAAGAACCTTAGCATGAACCTCCTTCCCTTGCCTCAACAACCCTAAATTAGCACAAGCAGTCAACACCGTCCCAAACGTAAAAGCATCCGGAACCAACCCACGAACCCTAAGCATAACATAAAATGACTTGAGCGCCTCTTTAAACATATCATTTCGCGTAAACGTCGATATAATCGCAGTCCAACAAAACACATCGTCTGGTTCAGGCAAATCGTCAAACACCCGCCGTGCATCCTCAACCGCGCGACTCCAACCATACATATCAATCAAGGAACAATTAATAACAGTGTTGGAATGAAACCCGCGTGTTATAACCATGGAATGAAAGCAACGACCGAGGGTTAAGTTGTTAAGCTGTGAACATGCTTTAATAACGGAAGAGAGAGTGAAAGCATTGGGCTGAATAGGAAAGGTTAACATTTGGTGGAAAAGAGAGATAGATTGATGTGGGAGGCCGGAGCGGGTGTAACCGGAGATGAGAGAAGTCCATGAGATGACATCTTTGATGGAGAGTGAGTCGAAGAGTTTACGGGCCTGAGATAAATGGGGGCCCGGGCTTAGTTTAAAGTAGAGAGTGAGGAGGCTGTTGCCGACGAAGCGGTCGGAGTGGAGCCCGGATTTGAGGACGTGGGCGTGGACGGAGGTGCCGTGGTGGAAGGAGGAGGTTTTGACGCAGGTTTGAAGGAGGGAAGCGTAGATGACTGGTTTGAGAGAGAGGGTTGGTTGACAAGTGTTGAGGAGGTTGATGGCTTGAGAGAGAGCGCCGTTTTTTAAGTGATGGAGGATTTGGGTGTCGGAGGAGAGGAAAGTCTGGTGTTGATTCAGGGGGAGACCATGGAGGTGGTGCTGGAGATTCTTCATCAAACTTGCGACGGTTTTGTTCGATGGTAAAAGAGTGTTTCATTATCAATTTACCGTTAAATTTTATATCATTCAATAAAAAAAATCACTAATATGTGAAATTATTTTACCTTTAATTAACCCATAAGCAGTATGACATAATCATGAATTCTCTTGTATGGAACAAAAGCTGCCTGGTTATTACTCATAATACTTCACAACACTCAACTCAATCTATTATCCAACACTTTATAGATCATTTTGTAAATACTTGTACAATAAGAGATTAGTCTATAATCTTTAAGAGTCTTGGCATTAGGGCTTTTAGGGATTAGAGTAACTAAAGTGTCATTCAACTTGCCAATCTTACCTCTCTCAAACAACTCCCTAATGGCTGCTATGAGATCTTACAGTATGTCAAGATTTTTTTGAAGAATTTTGACCCATAGCCATCCAACCCAGAGGCTTTCAACTCATCAATGCTCTTCACAACTGCTTCAATTTTTGTCACTGTAACAAGAGCTATCAGTATTGTCCTTTGATCATGTTAAGTTGATTCCCATTTATCAAAGCTACAATGTGATACAGATACAACATCTAGTGGTAGAATTAGTAATGAGCAGCCCAACACTGTTGAAGTTAGGCCCACCTGTACCAAGAGGATTCCTTCAAAATACAAGGACCACTTCCTTTATTAATGAATATTATAGTTGCATTTTATTCCCTTATTTCTAGTATGTTTCTAGAAGGTTGTGACTCAGCCAAATTTGTTAGGATTTGCTTAGCTGTGAGATCTCTCATTAGATTCTCTATTTTGCAATTCCTTTATATGTTGTAATTGCTATTGAAGCAAGATATGGAATGAAATTCTGTTAAGAAAAAAAAAGTCTCTTCTCTCTCTTTATACTTGCTTGAGGAGGTTTGCTCAGTCCTTAAAACTGAGCCCTATCATTTGGTGCTTTCATTGTGTTGAATTCATCCTTCTTCCATGGCTCCACCACCAGATCCCATCGCTGATCTCACTCGCCAAATCGCCACACTCACCACTCAGCTTGATGTTATGCGTAAACGCTTCGACGATTCCGGCGGTTCTCGTTCCAGCGTCGATTCGCAACACCGTCCCCGTCTCAAACTTGATGTCCCTCGCTTTGATGGTACTGATACACATGGGTGGATTTTTAAGATTTCTCAATTTTTCACCTATCATCACACTCCAGATGAGGAACGCATCACCATTGCTTCATTTTATCTTGATGGTCCGGCGTTGTCGTGGTACCAGTGGAAGTACCAGAATCGCCAGATCGCGTCGTGGGATCAATTTCTAGAGAAGTTGGCGATTCGTTTCGCTCCAACGGCATTTGATGATCCTCGTGGCAATTTGTTCAAGCTCACCCAATCGTCGTCCGTGACGGCGTATCTCTCCGAGTTTGAAGCTCTTGCTAACCGTCTTGAGGGTTTATCTGAGGCTGATTTACTCAGTTGTTTCATTTCTGGGTTGAAGATTGAGGTTCGCCGTGAAGTGTTGGCTCACCAACCAAAGACTATTGCTCAGGCCGTCGGTCTCGCACGGTTACAGGAGGATAAATTGCAGGACATTGCTTGTTCTTCTCGTTCACAGCCATCACCACCACCGTGGCATTCTCCGTCTGGTTCTCGTCCTTCACCAAAACCTAATTTCGACCCCCCTCCACGGCGAAGTCTTCTCAAGGCTTACTTCCGACCCCACCTGCTAAGCCTCGATTTCGGCATCTTTCTGGGGCGGAAATGGATGATCGACGTAGCAGAGGGTTATGTTTCAACTGTGACCAACCTTGGTCTAAGCAGCATAAATGTGGTGCCCGTGTTTTTTTGATGGTGGCTAATGATGATGATTTTTCTTCTGTGACAGGTGATTTAGAAGTAGCGGTGGCTGACTTGGTTGACAGCGGTGTCACGACGGAGGACACCTCGATTCCCGTCGTTCAATTAAGCTTGCACGCTCTTTCTGGCGACCAAGCTGCTGACACCTTTCGACTTTCGGGTCGAATCTCTTTGGAACCAGTGGATGTTCTTGTTGATGGGGGCAGTACCCATAATTTCATTAAAGAGACTATCATTGCAGCTTTGGGCCTGAAGCTGCGCCCAATCGATCCATTCAGGGTTTTGGTAGGTAGTGGCCAAGAATTGTTGTGTTCTCACATTTGCCAGGGGGTGTCAATAGTAATGCAAGGCCACTCCTTCTCCATGGACCTATTTGTCTTAGGTTTGCGGGGTGTTGATGTAGTGCTGGGAGCCCAATGGTTGAAAAAGCTTGGTCCAGTTTTAATGAATTATAATTCACTTACTATGACCTTTTTTCACAACAATGCTTGTGTTGAGTTAAAAGGCGACTCACCCACTCCTACTGTGGGCCTACATCACTTCCAAAGGCTTATGAGACTTGACCCAGAAGCTCAATTATTCTCCCTTCATATCATCAGTCCATATGATACACCTACTCAACCCACACCCGCTCACTCACCTTCTTTACCCGATACAGACCACCTTGACCCAAACTTCATTTTCCCTCCTCTCTAACTACTCCCACATATTCACTGAACCCTCCACCCTCCCCCCATATCGTCTCACCGACCACACTATCCCCCTCTTACCTCAATCCACACCAGTCAACGTCCGACCCTACCGTTACCCTCATTCCCAAAAATTAGAGATTGAATCCCAAGTGGCCAAGTTTTTGAAGACAGGGTGGATACAGCCTAGCACAAGCCCATTCTCATCTCCCGTGCTTCTGCTTAAAAAGAAAGGTGGTTTTTGACGTATGTGCGTCGATTACCGTGCCCTGAATGCAATTACAGTCCCGGATCGTTTTCCCTTGCCAACCATCGACGAGTTATTGGACGAATTGGGTAGGGCCAGGGTATTTTCCAAGTTAGACCTTACTTCGGGTTTCCATCAGATACGCTTGGCTCCACGTGATGTTCTTATGACCGCCTTCCGCACTCACGAAGGCCATTATGAGTATCGTGTTATGTCGTTTGACTTGTGTAACACTCTAGCAACCTTCCAGACTACGATGAATGACATATTTCGTGAGTTGCTGCGTAAATTTGTCATCGTCTTTTTTGATGACATCCTGGTCTTCAGCTCTTCACTTGATACACACTTGGATCATCTGACACAGGTATTTACTATCTTGGCTAATCACAAATTTCACTTGAAACCCACAAAATGCTCATTTTGTCAAAGCCAGATTGCTTATTTGGGTCATATTGTTTCTGAGGGCACCGTGTCACCTGACCCACTTAAGGTACAGGGAGTGGTAGATTGGCCAACTCCTAAATCAGTGAAGAGTTTGCGTGGATTTCTTGGCCTGTCGGGTTTCTATCGGAAGTTTATACAGGGGTATGCTACTTTGGCTCACCCTCTAACTTCATTACTTAAGAAGAATTCCTTTGAGTGGTCTGATCTTGCTCATTAGGCTTTTGATAAGTTGAAAGTCGCTTTGGCCACAACACCGGTTCTTGTGTTGCCGGATTTCTCATTTCCTTTTATAGTGCAAACTGATGCTTCTGGGTATGCTATGGGGGCTGTTTTGTTACAGAATGAACACCATGTCACCTATTTTAGCAAGTTGTTCTGTCCTCGTCTCTCTAAAGCTTCAACTTATATCCGAGAGCTTCATGCCATTACTTGTGCCGTGAAAAGATGGCGTCAATACTTGCATGGCCATTACTTTATAATCCAAACTGATCACCGTAGCTTGAAGGAGTTGCTTACTCAAGTGATACAAACCCCAGAACAACAATTCTATTTGTCTAAATTGTTGGGGTACCATTATGACATTCAGTACAAGCCCGGGAAGACGAATACTGTTGTGGATGCCCTGTCTCGCTGTCCAGAACCATATGTTGATGAGTTGAATGTGCTCTCCACCCCTCAGTTCTTGTTCATTGATGATTTACGAAAAGAATTGAGTTCGGATGTCGACTATCAGACTAAGTGTCAACAAGTTGTTGTTGATTCCTCTCTTGCTCCGGATTACACTGTTTCTAATGGGTTATTGTTGCACAAAGGGCGCATTTGGATCCCTTCTACATCTCGTTTTAAGGCCCTGCTGCTTCATAACACGAAATCGTATATATATATATTGATGCATAATTCAACTGATGTTTAACTGTTTTCGATCCGATTTCGGGTTATTTATGTGTTATTTGTCTGATGTTTTGTAGGTATTTGATAATCACGTCTAAACAAAGCAATATGAAGAAAAGAAGCAATCACAGATAAAATATGGACGAAAATCGGATGAAAACAACATGAAAAACGCAGAATGCATATTTTGCTGCTGTGACGACCGTCACAGCCCCATGACGACCGTCACACACCGTGACGACCGTCATGCAGGCCAAAACGCCCAACTTCAAATGCACGTGCAAGAAGCAGTTCCAAGTCCCAAATAGTGGACCACTACTCCCTGATAATTCTGCCTCAAAGTCCACCTTCTTCAAGTTATAACCGTTAGAATTCCATTTCTATAAAAAGGGAAGGAGGGGGACTGAGAAAGGGAGCCGCATTCAGACAACGAAGTGCTGCCAATTTATCTTCAGAGCAACCTTTCCAGTTTTTCTATTCTTATTTGTTTCTCTTTTCTTTTTCTGCATTCCTTTGATATTCTGTAATTCTTATTTCCCTTGTACGATCAATTGGCACAAAGACCAAAATCCTGCCAACATTTGAGGAGGATCTGCCCAAAGGTCAATTGGAATATTTACACGTTTCTAATTTTAATTGTAATTTTAGTTTTCATTATGATGCATGTTATTATTTACTGTTTTTATTTATGTTTTACCTTTCCCAAATCCATGTCTAGCTAAATCAAAGTAATCGATATGTAATAATAATTCGGAAGGGATTTGATAATAACCGGTTGAAAACTTTCTTTTTCAAAAGTTGTTTATGGTCTGAGTGTTTAAATTAATTGACTGAATAAACTTCGTCGCGAAAGCGAGAACTTATTTAAAAGTAGTTTTGCCACGAAAGTG